CACTGTCTGGGGCCTTGCACCATTGCAGGTCAAAATTCTGGAAAATAGTTTGAATTTAACCCAATAAGATGTTATTATATCTTAAGGCCCTGTCACACTATTGCGTATGAGAGAAACGTATGAGAAGCGTATGGAAATTAATGAAATAATTTTCATACGCACAAAAATCCTTTGAAATGCGAGCGCATGTGTACCGTACATCTGACGTACCTCTAGCGTATTCAGCGTGTGCCTAGAGTATGCTTATCGTATAAAGCATACGTTCGATACGCACAAAATTTTTGAACATGCTTAAAAAAAATTTTCTGCCTCGTCGTATACCAGCGTATGCGACCGTGCTTGACACATATACAACCTATGCCTAGCGTACGCCTAGCGTATGTCGGCATATACCGGCGTATAAGTGATATTTTTCATACGCTGACATACGCTAGTACGATACGCAATAGTGTGACAGGGCCTTAAAATGTGCTTTGTTATTTTATTCTACTTTGTGCTATGTGTGAATGTTGTGTTGGTGTTTATTATACTTTTTGTAACTTACATGTTTAGCTGCAGTGAAAGCAACTCCTGAAAATGCATAACGATCTACAATAAGTGTAGTTCCTTCTTCTAGCAGTCTTTTCATTCTTGGTCTATAGGTAAGGTTGATAGACAATTAATGACATAATGGTTGCTCACTCAATGGTTGAGAAAACTCCTGATTATAGAAACTAACATACAGGGCTGTTTTATAGTGACTTTCCACAGCTGTCCCAAATCTGAGCAAGGGCTCCAACATACAAAAGTCATGCCAACTTAATATTTGGTCTCTGTTAGGTTATAGGAGCTCGGCCTGGTTTCTCTCCTGACCCTACTTAACAGGTCGATAAGTAATAGCTGCAGCATATATTAGGGTTGGGCAATATTTAAAAAACCATATCATGCTTATCGTCTAGGAAATTATCACATTAATATTCATTAATATTGCAATAAATGCAAAAAACAAACAATGGCCTCAGTTTCAATTTTACTAAGATATAGCACTCAGTTTATATCTTATTATAAAGAACAAATTGAAATAAATACAACTAAAAACCTTCTTTTTGTTTCATCATTGCATGATTAAACCTTAGCTGTCCATTGCGATAGTGGTAAAGTAGGAAATTTTATATGTTCAAGAAATTAAAATAACTGTTTTCGGATTCTATCAATACTATGTACATGTGTACAAAGAAAATCACTGCCCATAACAATAATTATGATATATTGTTGCTCATGTTTCTACCATGAGTGAAAATATCACTGGTAATATCAATATATCGAAATAACGCAAACCCTAACAGATCTTTCACACACAAAAAGTCTACAATAACTTTTCAAGTCTGCAACATCATTGGGGAAAAATTCTCAGGTATTCAGTTGTTTAACTGGATGATATCAACACATGGTTTTTAATAAACACATGAATACTGTACTTCATTTCCCATCGGTTAGCTGAAAACATCAAATGAATAGCGTGATCATCAAGTTCAGATTTCCCTTGAAGATAGGAATCAATTGTCTTTCCAATTGCTGTTGACCTGTCTGCAAAATTTAATTAAAAGAATGCAAACAGTGTCAAGGATTTAAATGTATCACAAAGGGGTGGAGCAGTGATTATTCTTTGGGGA